CCAGGGTGCACCACGTGGAGGTAAGGCTATCGCACACCCCACGAAGTGAAATATAACGGTACATGATGATCTTTATTGCATGGTTCTCGCAGATCATTTTATTAGTTTGCCGTTGGTTGTTAAGATGTTCATTTTATTTGCTTTTAAGTACGTGCCTACTATTAATTTTGTAAGAATACACTTGAAAATATGTCTGACGACAACCGATTTAGCCATTTAAGAATAGACCAATGTGTGGGATACTTTATCGCTTGGTGCGTCATCGTATGCCTGCATGCCAGGATTGGGAGGTGCGGCCGTACAACTCTGTGTGCAGCGACCGTATAAACAGTGACCAATCATTAGCCTCTATTTGTTTAACCTAATCAGCCATCCTGATCATGATTAGGCCCCCTACAAGTACACTTTACCCGTAATATACTCACTGAATAAACGTGCTTCGTGCTACACATCTGTTTCCCTTATAGCTGGGCTATGGCTTAGCTAGTTCTGGGAGTCTAGCTAGATGTTGGAGAATCTGCCATAGAGATTTCTGAGTCAGTCAGGCTTTACTAAGGTGTTTAGCTGGTTCTGGGAGTCTAGCTAGATGTAGGAGGATCTCCCATTGAGATTTCTGAGTCAGTCAGGCTTTACTAGCGTAGCCAGAGATTTCTGAGTTAGTCAGGCTTTACTAGAGTAGCAATATTTCTGAGTCAGTCAGGCTTTACTAGCGTAGCAATCCGTGGAGCTATAGCTTAGCTGTTCTGGGAGTCTAGCTAGGTGTTGGAGAATCTGCCATAGAGATTTCGGTCAGGCTTTACTAGCGTAGCAATCCGCTACAATGCAATCCGGTCAGGCTTTACTAAGGTAGCAATCCGTTACAATTCTCAACCGGTCTGGCTTTACTAAGGTAGCAATCCGCTACAAGTCTTTAACCAAGGCTTTACGAAGGTAGCAATCCGCTACATGTTCGAGACTTAGGGAGCAATCCGCTACAAGTCTACAAAACAATATACATAACTAGCGTAGCAATCCACTACAAATGTATTTAGAAGGTTTTGGTAAAGTACCTTGATGGATTGTGGATCTTGTTCGGATTTTATGTTCCAAATAATGTGAATTTAAATTAATAACTCTGAATAAATTAAAGTCAACATAGTCGTTGTCTTACGTATTTGGCCTCATTTTACATGAACACGACTAACCATTTAAATCTTTTGTTTTGATCAACCCACACATCGATAGGGTAAAGTATTTGGTATCGCACACAACCTTGCGCAGCACAGAACTTCGTCCCAAAATTAACATGGTTTAATGTAACTCAAAAGTTTGAAAACTATCTTTCGCTTTAAATTCTGGCGTTTGCCTAGTGTCAATTATTAAGTGCCTGATCTTCCAAATGCTAATAGTATTAGTAACCAGAAGAATAGCCATAAAAATCAGAATGTTGGGCTGAGCCAATTCTGATGGAATGCTGGATCCTACTTTGTGTTAATTATGAAAAATTCCGTCACATTGTAACTTTCAACTGATTTCCCTTCTTTTGCTCACCCATGCCCATATGATACTTAGAATTGTTTATCATTGTGGGTAAGCAAGATAAATAAGTAAATTATTTTATCGTCCAAAATAACTGAAGAGTCTGTATCGATGGTAGGCCATTGTCCATTTAAAAAGTTATGAGTTTCGTTATCAGAAATGCTTGCGAGTCACGTGAATAAGGATGTGCTTGAATTTCTATTTCGATGGTGTGTAGGTGCAAATATGTATTAGGCCATTCATACCATTTGTAAATGTTTAAACAATTTCTGCAATACATTTAACTTTATTTTGATCATACACAGACAATAAGAAATTAAAATTGCGTGGAGTTTTTTATGCTGTTATAAATCACCTCTTTGTTTACTTTCTTCAAAATGCACATTAAATTATCTTAAGAACATTGATTCAATGTGAATATCGCCTTATTTAAGTTTTCTGATTTCGGGGTGTGCGATAGACTTACCTCCATGAGGTGCACCCTGGGCAATGTATACTCATACGGAAAAAAGTCTATAAACCGGCAGTTGACTTCTGACTTCAATCCTCCTCTCGACTTTTTTGACATTGATGCTCCTCCCCTCTGTGAAGCCCGAAGCCAACTAAAGGGCTAATGATAACTACCGTGAAGCCTGCCATTTGATAGAAATAAATATAACGTATTCCGACTTAAATGATCGAAACAAATTCCCCTCTGCTATTCTATAATTCATGAGTTTGAAAATGATGACACAAACAAGCATTGTTCTTCTTGCAAATTTTGCTTTGAATATTCGATTCGAATCTGCTCTTATACTCTTAATGAATGAAATAATTCGAAGTAAGAATGTTTATTTATTTATTTACTCCAAATGACAGGCGTTTTGAGAGTTGGCATTAGCATTTTAGCTGATTTCGGGCTCCGCAGAGAGTAAAAGGAACATTAAAGTGAACAAAATTAGAGAGGGGGATAGAATAATGATTCACAGATGTAAAAGAGACAGACAAACCAAAAGGCAGAGGAGAGGTAAGGTGAGTACTGTGTAAGGGGTTAACATGACATACAGTCGAGTCATGGTAGTTTGAAGTCAGAAGTCAACTGTCGAATAAAAGACTTTTTTGCCGTACGATAATGCGTTGCTCAGGGTGCACCACGTGGAGGTAAGTCTATCGGGTACCCCCTTCATAAGAACTCAGTCTATCCCAACGGGCAGCTGTTCCTATCTATAAGAGGGGAGAATACAAGAATTCAATCGTTCATATACGTTTTACTGGCAAGATAAAGACCTGTTATTGAGTTATTGAAGCTCAACGAGCCTACTGACCGAGGTTCATAGGCCTGTATGGAATTTTATTCCACTTAATAAAATTGTGAACATGTACTAAGATATTTGTACATTAGTGTTGGGTTATCCGATCGAGGGGAGGGGGGGGGGCTTTGGAATGCATTTCTTTAAAGGTCTTGACAATAAGTACTCTTCATTCATCATGGCGAAAAAATACTGAGTGGACAAGAACGTTCAAATGATTTGACTTCACACTAAGCATTCATTTCTTCTATTTAAATATTATCGTGTGAAACCAATGAATGGCTCCACTTACTAGCAACTATTCCGTCACATGGTAAGAAGTGGTCAACCCATGACTAGTACCATGTTATAAGGAAATTCCCACACGTTAGATTATTGATTGAAGCAAAAAGTGCTTAATTACCATAGTTGGCGAAGGCAAATCTCATTGTTCTACTCACTATGGTTTTCTGCCACAATGAATTTATGCTTGAACATAATGAATTTCAACCACTTACACTATTGAAGTATAGCATTAATTTTTATAACCCTCCAGTGTGGGGACCCATGGTGAAAGAGGGGAAAGATGGTTGCTATCTATGCGTCACAGAGCCTTTAAAATGCCTTATTTCAGCTGTACATAGGACTTCCGACTACTCATTCATCCTAAACATTAAAGATGAAGTAAGAACGCTTCCAGCTGAATTTAATCCGTTATGCAAAGTTTGTATCTTGGTACACTGGTTATTAATGAAGTGCCAAAATGGAAAGGAATGTTATGAAGCACTTAACAAAGAAAGCTTGAGCACTGTGTTTGAAGTAAATCGAGAAATATGGACACGTATTTATCCTAGACCGATCTATCTTAGCAAAATCTTCATGAATTTCTCCGAAAGGTTTGATTTTGCCGGATTCTTTTATACGCCCGGATTCGCTGAGAATCCCGAACTCTATCTCTCAACAGAAATGAATATTAGGCGACAATTCTTTTATGCATGGAGAAACGCGCTGTCTTATTTGGGTCATAGAAGCATGTACTATCGTTTCCCACGAAGTGCACTTAATGGTGGCTTTATACTCAACGGTATGCTCTCAGTTCTAAGAAAACTCATGCTAAATAAGCACAAGGAATTACGTCCCATGGTGGCAAATATGCCAGTATACATGTTGGACGCTTGCCTACTCTTTCCTGACCTTAAGGAACTGATTATGAAAGTGTCCCAATTAGTTGGATCATCAATCTGTGCCATTCAGTTAAAACCAGAATTTTGGCCCACCATAACTTCTACATTTAGACCAAAGAACACCATGTTCCAAGAAAGTGATTACTACCAAAAGGCTGTAGCCAGGGGTATAGCAGCCCTGTTCTTCCTTAACAATCGAACAATATTTAAAATAAATAAAAATATACGCCTAACCTACATCCATTTGCCGGGATGTGCGAAGAACAAAAATGACAATTGCATTTGTAAATTTGCATATTGGCTAGAGAAAAATGAAGGTAAATTCCTTCCTACACAACTTTAGAAAGACCGGATTGAAGTTAAAATAAACTTTAGTTCTAAGGAATTCGTCCTAATAATAAAACAACTATAAAAGATGGCCGTGTAAAATGGAATAGCCTTGCAGTGTTTAATTAATAATTTACCATGCACTTATTTAAAACGAGTTACTAATACTGTGCCAAGCAGTTCTAAATCTGACATATATATATATATATATATATATATATATATATATATGACTACTTTTTTAGTTGACACAAAGTTGGACTTATCTACATCTCAAGGTCTGAGCGATGATCTTCTTGAAGGACAAGAGTGAACCCCATCTTTTGTCTAAACAGATGGCAAGTAGTTGAATACAGTGAAGGACTGGGGAAAAGAGGCGAGATGGGAATTTCAAATATGGAGGACAGGGGATAAACATCAGCGGAAGTGATATTTTGATAATGGAGCCAAATTATGTTAGGCCAAGTGGAGTTATCCAATCCTAGAAGATCAGCATCTTTATACAAAGTAATGGTTTCATTACAAGGATTGATCTTAATGAATATCTTATTATCGGCTATTTATGTTATATATTAATTTTAAAAAAAGTGGTGCATAGTGCAATGGAAAGGTGTCAATGTAATTCTCATATTCTCTTGGAGTAGAGTGAGAGGTTTGTGTAATCGATTTGATATCTTTCCCTATTAATAATGTGTCGACTTGTTTTGGTATAAGAAATATACTCTGGAGATAAAATATTAAACCCTTCCCTCCTCCTAGTTCATTTCCTATTGCTTGGCTACGTCTAGATATAACAGATTTTACAAATGTTCATGATAGGAAAGAGCAAGAACCTGAGGACCGGCAAAGCACCCAATTGGATAAGGAATGGGGTTGGGGTAAAGGGGTCAAAAGAGTCATGCAAGAAATGGAATCTGTTGCAAATTATTTTTGGTTTATTTACTGAATGTACTCTAATACCACATGTTCTAAGACTTTAAGTTTCAAATTTCCAAAGTTGTCTCGTTTCTTTGGTGTATTCATGTCGGCCTGGCCAATGCATATTTATCAGCTAATTTACTTAGATTGTAAACAACCAAACAGACAGATTTGTTTTACTTGCAGCTTACATATCAGATAATATTAAAAATTTCCCTGGTTTTAACGAAAGACAGTTTTCACGCTCTATCTATGCATTTGGAAATACGGAGAGGGGTATATTTCATATCTATTGTGGAGTATTGTTGATTATTGGTTCCCCATTGGTTGATCACTGATGAGGAAAGCTTCTACATGACCATTACGAATCAAAGCCGTCAGTCTTTTATCATCTGTCCCACCCTGAGTAAATAAACTTATTTTCTTACTAGGAAAAACGTCGTTTGATTTATAAATATGTCTCCTTTTGCCATCTGCAGTCTGGTTAGAAAGCAGTTTTATTTGGGGCAACAGAGTTGTTACAAAAAGTAACTTATCGAGGTCTGCAGAAGCAGTAATGAGGAGGCCGGATCAGTTTTGTTGGACACCACAAGGAGGGAAAGGGAGATGTATCAGGTTGGTTAGAACATGCATTTATTTAAACAAGGGATTTATAAGCACTGAATATTTTGGTCGTGAACTCAGGGAGCTATTAAGTAAAAAGTGCATAACCTGATGAATTCTGAATTTGTTTAAATTTATACTTTTTTAATTGAAAATAAAGGAAATAACACGGAACCTCTTTGCTCATATTCATCCACCTTCATAGAGTATTCAAATTCAATTTACCTGAAGGCATCAAATATGCACAAATTCAAATAACATAAGAAATGATTATGGAGCTCTATTATACCCTTTTAACATCACTTCAAATCAATATTATAAAAATAAAAAGGCGTTGTAATATAAACGCTCCAACAATTTTGTCTACCCATTGGCTAATCTTGTGATCCACAAAATATTTCACCTTGAAGTGAACCTCAAAGAGGTTCACCTTATTTATAGGTACATTCCAGGTACCTAATTTAAAGTGATAAAGAGAAGATATGTCTTTTACAATATTTTTTATCTCTTCACTTTATTCAATTTCAGTAGCATATGTAACCGCCAATGAGCCGCCAAATGTTGAAGTCAAATTTACTGGACCAAATGAGGGTATGTCAATGTTTTACCCCCCCCCCTCAACTTAAATCCCTTTAAATTCATTTTTAATATTACTCCTTTGACAGTTCACTGTCTTACGTCTGCTGGAGATTTTAACAATATCACAGGCTTTCTTATCCGTGAAACCTTCAAGAGGTTAATTTTAATGGAAAAGTTCGAGAATAGGCAATGGCAATTCAATAGCCAACAGATAAAGTGGGATATTTCTTGTAGTGAACTGCCGAATTACCAAAAGAGGGATACTTGTACTGCCATTGGAAAGTCCATTAGACTCAATTGCTCAAGGTGGGTCCTAAGGGCGTTGAATTACTCATATCTTCCCAATAAACCAACATTTGAGTCCTTCAATTTTTCCCCCTATTTTAGGCCTATCGGTCAAGTGGAGGGCGAGAAGTGTGGAAGTGTCGATATCGGAAATCTATACTTAAATATTACAGTGACGGAGATAATCCCAAATATTATGGAGATCGTGGGGGTATCGGAGTTTAGTAGATTGCCAAATGGGAAATTGGACAATCCAACTGCTAAACCGAAAAGTTTTTTGCAGATGGTCCTTAAAGTTATTAGAGAGGCTTTAGTGAACTTTAATTGCTTGCTGACTTGATATTTCTGACTAATTCAGTTTCAAAATTGTTGTTTTCTTCTGCATACTCTTATAGAATTGCATCAAAAATGTATGCTGGGTATTGGGAACCAATTAACTTTGATATCGTTTTGTTTAGTTCATCGAACGCTGTTACTTGTTGTCAATTTAAAGTTTTCTTCTTAACCACATTTGATACCTTAACTTACCGATCGGTTAACCGATTTTTTTAATCTATTTAATTTCTATTTCCTCCTTCTACTTCCAAAAGCTTGATTGAAAAGTGCCATCACTGAGACAATGCTTAACTCATGGCGGTTTACTCCACAAATTTCTATAGAAAATGTAACAATAAGGGTAAAGTAGCAAAAGCTGTGCTTTAAATGATTGTACACTGCAAACTATTATATGAGTCTTTCAGTGGATTAGAACTGAAATAAATATTTTAATCCGTGATAAAACAAGTACAAAAGTAAAGTTAAGAAACAATAAATCACCTATAAACCGTTTCATAATAAGATTCCAAATAATATTTTTATTTATTAATCAAGACGAGTTTTGTAGATAAAGGGCTGAAAATGTAAGTATAGTTTAATGAGTAAGTCACAAATAGCCAGAATAAATGCTAAAAATAACAATTAATAGCCGATATTCGAGCAGATGAGAAGCAAGATAGAATCTCAAAATTGCTGATATAAAGGTTTCATTGTTCACAACACAATCATGGCTGAACCAAGAATTCTCATGACCACCCAGATAGAATCGAAGGTGCGACATGCTCCTTATCGCGTAGGGAGCACACATGGTCGTGGGTGCAGGGACCTCTCATCCAGCCACAAATCAATACTTCCCGCTGATTGTTTAACAAATGCTGCACTGTATCTAAATGACTAGGCTCTATGACACACATCCCAAATATACTTGTTTCACACTGTACGTCTGCTCGCCCCAAAATGTGTGCCCTATCTATTGCGCTTTCAAACTATATTTTATACCTACAATTCTCAGATCACATATGAGTACGTTGAACAAAAATAAGATAGCTTTTGGCTGTTAGAAGAAACAATGATATTAATATATTAATAATCAAGTTAGTAAAAAGTGAAGTAAACACACAGGAACATACTTTGGAAATTTCATTCAAATTTTAACTCTTGAAATTTGGAGCATTTGAAAATGATGAAGCGACTTATATTCCGAAGGTGAAACTAGAAGTTGAGCGAATTAGGATTCCAAGCTAATTTTCTACTTTTATCCTATTTAAAATCCTCCCACTTGATTGGAGTGCCATTATTATTATTATTTCAAATGGCAGGCGTTTTGATAGTTACCATTAGCCCTTTAACTGACTTCGGACTTCACAGAGGGGAGAAGCATCAAAGAGAGAAAATGTCAAGAGGGGGGATAGAAGAGTGATTAATAGATGTAAAGAGACAGACAGACAGACACAAAGGTAGAGAAAAAGTTAAGGTGAGTACTGTGAAAGTTGTAGAAAATGACATGCAGTGGGGTCATGGTAGTTTGAAGTCAGATGTCAACTTCCTGTTTATAGACATTTTTCCGTTTGAGCATATGTTGCCCAGGGTGTACCACCTGGAGGTAAGTCTATCGCACACCCCGTGAATGACCATATAAACTCCACAAAATATTAACATGGAAAAAAGTTAACAAATGAATGTTATTAAGCCAAGGCCTCTGCCACAACCCCAGGATAGAATCCAAACGTAACAATAAGCATTACGAGTTCGTGAGGAATGTCAAGCGAATTATTGTTGGCGGAAAGTAACGACAGAATATAAAGATTGGAAAAAAGGGTACACGTCTAGATATGTCTGAGGTCAAAGGTCCTAATCATTTCCGCAGCATCAAGTGGACGGGATGAGCAACAGCACCAACTAAGTGTTACCAAAACAAAGGTTGGCAGAGTTCGAGTCTCACTAGAGAGACACCGTGATGTCATCTGACCTCAAAGTTTCGCTTCGAAATATCCTTTCAAGAATGGACTTGGAAATTGCGACTTCGTACTTACAGGTGCATGCATCGTGACGGTATAAAAGGAAATATTTCATAGTTTTCATCTCCTACTGCTCTATACTAACAGTTAATTTCATTCATTTCAATTAACAGAAGGACATTTGATTCAATGGTATTTATTTCGAACAAAGTCAATACTAGAACAAATACTTTCCACTGATGTTTGCCATTATTTCCCATGTTAGTACATACAAGCCTTTGAAACATCCAACATGATGGGAGGACCCACTTGGAATTGGGGAGGGGGGGGGGGGGGGTAGAACCATAGAAGAACCACAGTTTATCTGAGTAATAGAACTCTCAGATCAATTCCAATTTCAGATCCAATTTCATCATGCCTCTAATGCCTCTTTATCAACTTGGTTAGCGTAAGGAGAGTTTGGGTGACAAATTTTTATGTGATTTCAGAGCCCTCCTCTTTTTACATTGTTCTTGTTGCATTTACTATATTTTGGACAAAGATCCCAACCAGTAAAGAGATCTTTTATGGGGTGCATGGCAAAGCTTCTGTGTCACCATGAAAACGCACAAAAAATCCTCTCTTATGCAAGCTTTTCAGTAGCGCTTAATGTCTAATAATGCGATGGATATAATTCTTTTAGGATTTACCATTTCATTTTCATTTTCTTTGCACTTCTCTAACTCGCACATTTTGGTTACTGCCTTAGGAGCCATATGGGAGTTCAAAGCTCAATGATAACCTGCCCATAGACACAATTTTCTTCTTTGCTCTCAAACGGTAAGGATTCTAGGAGAAATTTTTTCGTTGAATTTTGACACTTATTTGTCTCCTACCGCATTTTCCTAACATCGCACTTTGAACAGTGCTTAAACAGTCTTTAATTCTCTAGCACCATAAGGATCATGCGATCCTCTATCTTATGATAAAAAACTATGGATAAATCGCACAGACGTAGTCTTTGAGTTTTAAATGATAATCACTTCGATTTTAGTTTTTGTCTAAGTTACATAAGCTGTCGTTTGGCCCTTATGATACTCATTCCTACAGCATGATCTACTGGCTAAACTGATGGCCTAAATAAACACACGCTTTAACTTATTTTCCACAAATAATAAAAGTAAAATTATTACAGATTTAATATTAAAATTAGTTGGGTTTAAAGCCCGAAGTCAACTAAAGGGCTAATGATAACTATCA